GACCTTTTTTATTTTTTAATGCGGATTCCTTTTTTGGTTAATTTTTGTTGCGAATACATCTTATGATTCGAATAACTATTGTTTTATGTAAACAGAAGAATATTTATTAATTGAAATAGATTTTGTACTCGTTAAACAAATTTTTTATTCGGATAAGCCAAAATAAATCTACTTATTATTTGAAGCAAAACACTATTGTTTTGTTGATTTCCAGATGAATTTGGCTTGTTTGATACTGGAATCACATATTTATTTGAATTTACCAATATATTGAATGTGGTTATAACCACAACAAAACACAATTTCAAATGACAATATACAGGAAACCTACACAAACAAGCTCCACCATACCCGCAAGTTCAAATCATCCACCATCACACAAAATGGCTGCCTATGACGCATTCATATATAGAATGTTAAGGATAGCACTCAACAATGAAGCCCGAAACAAAGAACGGAAAGTAATATACCAAATAGCGAACGAAAACGGATACACCCAAAAGACAATAGATAAACAAGAAAACAGAATCAAACAAAAAATATAGAAGACGGATCAAGCCACCCCAACAGACAAAACAACACAACGATGGACAGCATTTACGTACGTAGGACACCAAACCAAAAAACTAACAAGCGTCTTCAAACCACTGATCATCAACATTACATACAAACCAAATAGGAAGATAACACAAAAAATAAACAACTGTGAAAAAGAAGTATACTGTATATACCAAAACGGGATATACAGTATACAATGCTCGGACTGCAACAAATTCTAGATCGGCCAAACCAAGAAAAAACTGATCCAAAGGTACAATGAGCACAAAAAGGCATACATAAATCCATTAGTATATAAATCAAACCTCGCAACACACGCCCTACAAAACAAACATAATTTCCCCCCACCAGAGAACATAAAACTCATAAAACAAGTCAACAAGGGAAACCGCATGGACATTTGGGAAAACTTGATCATCCATAAATCACTTATCGAGGAATAATTACAAACTAAAACACAAGACCTCACATTCAATATATTAAACAAAACCATGCACATTCCTAGAGAAGATCTATTACAAAGAATAGTACCTGATGCAGTACAAATACAGGCAAATTTACCTGAAGTACCTGAAATACCTGAGCTGAGACGTTCGGACCGTATAAAGAGGCAGACGACAAGATGACAAGTTCAGTTTGAGGAGTGCCTGAAAGATGACAAGTACGACCAGTTGCCGAAAGCGCTCGCAGATAATTAATAGAAGATATAAAGCTTCAAATCCTTTTTGTGAAATTTATTATTAAAGAAATTTTGTTTCAGACATGTATTTAGGGGATTGCAAAATATAAACGAGTATATGGAACGAGAATGAAACCCAGAAAATAAAAAGGAGTATTGATTGCTCCACAAAAAAATATCAGCCCATGTGTTAAATGTAAAATGCATTATATTTGGTGCGATACATATCAAATACACAATTCTGAATAAAATGTTGGAGGAGCGCAAACTTCAGACTCCAAAGATATTATTGACTGGCCGTTCACAGCAAGTTTAGCGAGTGGTTTCTACAAACACCAGTAATTAGAAATAGCCACAACACCAGGATACCCCGTGGGGGAGTCGGACAAATCCAACGCAGATGTTACATGTTTTATACTTGTTACCGAACTAACGCAAACTTGGCGCAATTTGTCATTTGGGTTTTTGTTGAATTGATTAATTGGTAACAATTGTTCGAAAACTGAAGGATTATGTTGAGTTTGCGAGTAGCATGTTGTTCGGAACGTGATGAATTGGATGGATTCTAGCTCGATTGGATATGATATACTTGGTCAAAAATTTTGAAAAGCGTTGGATTTCATCAAATATGTTTTTTAGGTACATTGAATGTCACTACATATTGAGGAACGGTACTAGATTCACTCAATTCATACAGATTTTTCAAAGGCGTTCTATAGAGTTATTCATATGGTATTGCTTCGAAAACTAGAATCCTTTCGTTCTGGGGGTAGTGTTGCAAATTCATTGGGTGAAAATCAATAATTACATATCACATACAGTCGAAGCCTGTTCTGGTGTTCCACGGGATAGTCACAGTGGACCACTACTCTTACATATATTTATTGATGATCTTATTGCACACATTACTGACTCAGAGGGAATGTTTTGCTGATGATCTCAAGCTATACCGTGTGATTGAATCGTATGTTTATTGTCTAAAACTTCAAGATAATATGAATCATCCAACCAATTGGTATAGAAATAACTGCTTAGAACTCAATCTTGACAAATGTCTAGTCATGTGTTTCAGTCGTTCTCACGCACCAATCACATATAAATACTGCATAAACTCTTTGCCCCCAAACCAATTTGATGAAGTTGAATATCTTGGTGTTATATTTGATAGAAAGTTGTTATTTCCATCCCATATTGATAAAATAACTTTGAAATTACTTAAACTTCTTGGATATATAGGTAAGATCACAAAAGACTTATCGGCAAGCACAATAAACATTCTGTAATGTTCAATAATTATGTCACATTACAGTATGCATCCATTGTGTGGTGTCCCTCTTACTTCACTGAAAAAGGTTCAAAACGAAATTTAGTGTAGTGCTGCATACAAAATAGGCATTCAAATAGACCAGCGACATAACTGCACTGATATTCTTTCTACACTTTATTCAACCACATTGGAAAACATGCAGATTCAAGCTGACGTAATATTTTCTATTCAAATTATTGTCAGGCCAAATCATTGCCCATAAATTTTCTTTTTGGTTGGCCAGAGAGTCGAAAAAAGAGTTTTCGTTGAGTCACTTTTTTCCAATTATGGATTCAACAGTCATACTTAAACTTCTTGGATATAAGTGAGTTATAACATAGGTAAGATCACAAAAGACTTATCGGCAAGCACAATAAACATTCTGTAATGTTCATTAATTATGTCACATTACAGTATGCATCCATTGTGTGGTGTCCCTCTTACTTCACTGGAAAAGGTTCAAAACGAAATTTAGTGTAGTGCTGCATACAAAATAGGCGTTCAAATAGACCAGCGACATAACTGCACTGATATTCTTTCTACACTTTATTCGACCACATTGGATAACATGCAGATTCAAGCTGACGTAATATTTTCTATTCAAATTATTGTCAGGCCAAATCATTGCCCATAAATTTTCTCTTTGGTTGGCCAGAGAGTCGAAAAAAGAGTTTTCGTTGAGTCACTTTTTTCCAATTATGGATTCAACAGTCTAATTTCAAGAATGTTGAGGGAAACTGATGCATAAGAACTTGATTTTCCACTTATGACTTGAAAATCTTGAATCTTGACTTACTCCTTGAAGGACTTCAAAAAGTTTGCAGTCAATTATGTATATAGTCTCTAGATTTATGCCTTGTATGTTCGTTAGTTTTTAGTGGTGGTGTTGGTTATGATTGTCAAATTTAGCATTTAGTTTTCAAGTTGCTTTTTATTTTATATATTTCAATATTCGAACGAATTTTGTAACTGTTTTTGGATTGAAGTATATTTTTATACATGAATATTTTAACTTGGGGTTCTTCTGTTCATACCGGATAAATAAATGAATAAAAAAACAAAGGTCACTATCTGTATATGTGTCTGTTCATCTGATTGCGGTAAACTCAAAAACCACCTAACGGTGTTTCATAGGACAAAGTGATTCAAAAGGACAGTTTATATGTACAGATCGTTTAAGATAGAACACGTCAATTCACTACACGTTGGTCTTTTTGTAGGTCTTCATGAAAGTTCACGATGGCATATGTCTATCTTTCAAGGATAGCTTGACGATGGCCCTATATAGGATGTTCCAGATTAAGTCGGCACAATTTCCAACTCCGTTTTATTGATGCTACGAATTTCGTTAAATGAGCAAACTAGTAGCATTTCACGAATCGAAATGCATGATAAAATATAGAGTGTTCCATTTAAAAAAATATCATTTCATGAAATATTTTGAAAACGCGACTGTTATTTTTTTTTTGTTTTCGGCGTCGAAAAGGCCATTAAAAATGCTACTAGTTTTCTTATTCAACCGATTTCGTAGCATCAATAATAATGGAGTTGGCAATGGTGCCGACTTAATTTGGAACACCCTGTATAATCCAATATTACGGGCCTGTCAAATTTCTTAAATAACTATCTCAACACAAAAAATTCCAAAATAACACTTCGTAATAAAAAACATAGTATAATTCAGTATATTCCAAATTGAGAGATTCATCACTTATGGATAATATCAAAATCTTTTGATCCATACATTGGATGAACCAAACAGTATACAAACAAAAACGATTGAAACAACATAAATTTAAAGTGTTCCTAAGTATACATTACTTTGAGCGCGACACTATTGATATCGACTCAAAAAAAATAGTTTTCTACGTCCTCTGGAGACGCCAACTTGGTGAAACGCGCGTCGGGAAGAGTACTGCAGTTCTGGCGATCAGAAAAAGTGCTTGTTTTGAATTTATTCTACCCCAGAGTGTCCAGTTTAACCTCATATTCTCATTAGACCAATTCTGAAATAGCCCCCTTTGGAGTAATATGAATAGTCCTCATATATATTCCCTATATGAACAATAGTTTTTTCTTGGACATGAATAAATGTTCATCATTATTATCTATCTTCAAGTGGAAACTTTTTCCTGAGTCAACAAAGCAAGTATCAGATTCCCCATTTGTTATTCAACCCGATTTGAAAAAACTTTCATTTCCTTCTGAACTCGAGATTAGTCTAGAACCCGTCCGAATTGTGATCAGTATTTTGGAATAAAGAGAGCTGTAAATAACTCTAACAAAAGTTTCGTCTTATCGGCTGGCATAAAAGTTGTGCAAGGTGTGAATTACTTTTACTCGAACAGAATTCTTATACCTACTCGCTGATAAGGCTCCGATTTTCAGACAGTAGCGTATCTTGAAGGAATTTTACATTTTCAAAAATTCAAATGTGGAAAGTAAGGAAACAATACATTCCGTGAATGAGATTATATTATACGAATAGAAAGTTAGAAATTTTTAAAATGATGTTCAAACTTTTGACTGCTTTGCTGATTCACTTTGCTGCACGCTGAATCGACTGAAGATGTCATTGGAGGAGGTCCACAGCTGAATACACCAATTCTCTTTGCCTAGAAGAAATATATATTCATGATCATTATACACGTTATGATTTTATATAATAAATTAATTGCAATTGAATATCCAACTATTACGATTACAATTTTGGGGCCAACGAGGGACAACATCAAATCATTGGTAGATTCACAACACAACAAAAAAATATTTTTTGAATGTTTCCTACACTAAATTAGTCAATTTCTACTAATTTTGGGGTGATAAAAACGAAAATAACAATGAAAAATTNCGGATCACTAGACCTATCGCTTACCTCAAAATCAGGGTCATAGGATGTAGAAGGATGGGTTGCTCCTTCTAAACAGTCTTCATCACCTTCCTCTAAAATTTCATAGTTTTGGGGTGGAGAAGGGACTGGCAAATTGTCTGAGTGTGGTACAGGCCGAAGAGCAGATGGGAGAACATATATATAATATAATGATACTATATCTTGAAAACAAGAGCTAATATATGATTTTTATGGTCACTTTCGGTTTTAACACGTGGAAATACATTTCAACCCGGGGTTGAAATACATTTCAACCCCGAAACAAAAACTTTGTTGTGTTGTGATCGGTGCAATTGGGCATTCTAGTACACTGCCAAAATGTCCTGTATATGTCACTGAGACGAAACGAACACTATGAGTAATATAATACTGATCAAATTTGAAAAGATGGATTTTGTCTGTGATCATTTTATTCTTACATACTAGATGGGCTAAAAAGATCGTAGACTAACACATAGATGTCGCTACTAATATTGAATCCATATGAATATCAGTTAACCCTAACCGTCAAAAGACATATGAACTAATTTCACAGCTGTCGGACTGATAATTTCGAAGTAAACGATATTGTGCACACTTAAAGTTTACGACACTCTCAAAGGCCAAAAAAACCAATACATAAAAATGAAACAGCTACGGTGACGAATAGAAATCGGGGAATGCGGGAATGGTTATCGCCGGCATGTCATCAATGTTCAGTTCAGGAACTGATCGCGATTTGAGTGTTGAAATTCTGAATTGGTGCAGTTATAATTACTTAAAATTTTTGTTATCTGTTTAAAATGTGGCGTCTTTTGACAAGTAATAATAGTATTAACGAGGGTGATAATAACGTAGACTATTTCCGGTGTAATGATTCCAATGGAGATGGTGACAATGTGAAAAAGAGATATCAGTGAATGAGATTTCAATGCATTTGAATATTGAAACACAGAGAGTTTGTTTCAATGTTTATAAGAGTCTACATCTCAAGTTTCGTTTCGAGGGAAACGAAATATTACAAGCAACATCAGATTTGACCTTTCTCAACGCAAAACGGGATGTGATACCAAAACCTTCAGATGTTCATCTAATAAAATCATTGAAAATAACAATATACGAATGTTACAAAAGCAATGAGATTCGTACAACTGAAATCATAAGGAAGAAATTCAATACTTCCGGTCATAACGTGAGCTGCTGTGACAAAACTATTCAGAATTGGATAAAAAAACTAGGAATTTAGATTTGAAATAATAAACAAATGTCAAGCAGTTATGGAAAGCAGAAAAATAGTGGAATTGCGTAATAAATACTTAGAACAAATATCATTTGGCATCCTTGCTCTCGACATCTCTGATGATGTCCACCAACCATTCAAACTGTTTTTGTGTCCGGGATACCCATATAAAGTATACCTGTACAAAGGGACATGAAATAAAAAACCCTTTCCATATAGTTAGATTACAAACTATAAATTGAAATTTTCCCAGTATTCTTAGATTTAAATGAAACAATATATAAGTAATATCGAAACAAACAAAAGTACCCCTACTCTCTATTCTCAACAGTTGTCTACGAAAAGTTCACGATAATAATGAAATGTTGATATTCCAATCTGATATTGCGATTATTCGATTGTTTGTTTGTATTGTTCATCCATGATAATGGATAGAAAGATAATTTTCTCACCTTTTTGCAGTGGGTTCTGATTTTGTTTGCTTTATGAGTCACGTCTTTCAAAATACTGGCGAAGGGTGTCACTCCAATACCACCCCCAATTAAAATGGCTACATCGTATGTGTTCCAGTCTTGATGTCCTTCACCATACGGTCCATCAAGATAGAGCTAGAAAAAAATATTATATTTTGAAATGTCAAAGTGATCACCATCGAAAATATTTTTTCCAGTACTGAGGTATAATAACATTTTTTTGCGAAGGAGTTCGATAAGAAAAGAAAAACTCTCAACAAAAATGTATAGATCATGTACAAAATCTTTTTGCAGATGAAAAGCCATCAAATTCCTCATGGAACAACTACTTTCAATTACGATTACAGGCCAATTACGAGGGTTACTTCTATTGCTGTTAGTCGAGTGAATAATACCATATCAAACTTATACCATCTGAAATATCACTCGCAGGTCCCAGACCCTTGTTTTCTGATAAACGCGGACTTTTTATTCCAGTATTTATTTATCACTTTTTTCGAAAATACAAAGTCAAATTTTTCCGGCAAGATAAGTCAATTAATAATCACTGATTATTCTTCAAAAAGAGCGAGATATTTTCAGGTTAATAAAAAAACTGCACGGCTCGGTTCATAATTTAAGTATCAACTTGTTTCCATACGTGTAGTTTTCCTAAAAGCCATATTTTTGGTTCCTAAAATGCTAAGCGTTTTTCCACGATGTTTTTAAATTCAAAAACTGTTTTAAATGACTTTTCAAGGAATGCAAATCACATGCTTATAATAAATGTTTAGTAAACTTTTCAAACTTGATAGGTTTAATTCGAACATCTAGGGAAGAATGAATCAATTTTTTCCATGCCAGAAAAAGATGATGATGCTGACTTGGTCAGTGAGAGGGTGTATTTTTGTACTCAAATCAAATAATAACTAAAGAGGAGTCAGTTAAAAACAGGTTAGCAGAAGGAGATTTCCCTGCAAATCAATGTTCGAAATTGAGAGTAGTTGACGTGGGTTTTTCATATAGTCGGTAACTGAAATGACAAACCTACTAATCTACTTCGTAATTCAAAAGTTCTTCACTTTCTAATATTGATGATGGGATAGAAACAGTTTCTGCATAATCTAATTTCTTCTAAGTATTACCTTGGGAAGTTTAACACTGTCTCTTATCGCCGTTTCATAAGTTTTTCGAATTAGATTGGTCCATGGTCCGACTGATCTGATATGAACTGTCAGATTATCTTCATCCGGCGCTGATGATAGAGTGAAAGGATGGTATTCATTTTCATTCAACTCCATACATGCCAAGCGGACCCACTGGCCTGCTTTGTATTGGAAGTTTTCGGGCTTTTGGAATTCAAGCATTGTAACATCTGAAATAAAAAATTATATTATTCACCTTCTTTTAATAACGATTCCATGAATGAAAGACGAAAGTGTAACCTCTAGCGAAAATTAAACCCAAAACAAGTACATTTTCCAATCACCAGAACTGCAATACTTTTCTAGACGCGCGTTTCACCAACCAAGTTAGCGTCTTCAGGAGATGACGTGAACTTTTTACTTCAAAAGTGACCCTGTACCGGGGGTTGCATTTACCCAATGAGTTGACACCCCTTCTCGAATATGACAAATGTTTCATTGAAAATACGACCATTTCCTATAAAGTATTTTTTCTGAAAAAAGATACTTTTTGACTTAAGTGAATATGTCACTTATTCAAGCAACGAACCCACATTTCGAACAGTTTTTCGAGAATAACTCAAAAAGAGTGTATTTTATTGAAAAAAAAAAGTTCATATCAATTATCGTGTACAGCTTTGGGGAAATTCATATCATTTCATTCAAATATTCAGGATGCAAAAGAAGGCATTGATAGTGCTGGCTCATATTGGATACAGGGATCACCGTCAAGAACATTTCAAAACACTTAGAATTAAGCCATTGCCAGCTTTATTTCTTTATTACGTTTTGATTGAAATTCATAAGAAGAAACCATCCATGGCGGAACAGTATCATATACACATTAGAGTGAATCGATTTCGTCTTCACTTATCACAAAAAAAATTCCATAGATTACGCTCTGTACAATATTGTGCCCAAGAATTCAAAGAGGTCAAGTCTGAATACTCACAAGAGAAAATTGAAAAATTATTCGTTGAGGTATTGCTTCTATTCTATTCATGACTTCAAAACACATTTTTGTGATAACACACAAGTCACTACTTTTTGATTTGATGTGTGATTGTTGCTATTTGCTTGTAAATTTTAAGTGTAAAGCCAAGCATGATTTGCTACAAACATATTGTATTATGTAACGTAGTCAAGTAAATATTATTATTATTATTATCAAAATTGTAGTTTATGAAAATCAAAAATGAAGAAAAATTGTGATTATATGGTGTCTGTAGACCCAATATAAATGGAATAATACTTGTTGTTGGTTGGTTCTTATTCGTTAAACGCACAAATTGAAAATTTCAACGTAAAGTAAAGAAAACATCATGCATCTTCGGATGGAACTCATAAAAAATTCATGACTTGCCTAAAAATATTTATTCTGGTATACTTTTTATTTTTACAAGTACCTAGCATCAAAACTGAGCGAGTTATAATGATAACATTATTGGTGTCTATTGTTAAAAAATAATGTCAAAAAATAATCAGAAAAAAAATGTATTGTACTATTATATTCCATTACTGAAGAACCCTCTACATATAAAGGCTTCCAACTACTCACTTGAAGGTAGTATTTCTGCACGAATTACTGGAATCTCCACTTTCTTTCTACTGATGCTTATCAAACAGTCCAAAGTGTATAAAATGAGTGGACCGAGNTGTTCAAGGAATACTCTGTATAAGATATCAGAACGACACATATAATCATTATGAATATTTTGAAAGTTCTGGTTATCTGAAAGAAAATATATTATAGAGGAGTTTGTTTTATTTGAGAAAGTTATCGATTTTCAGAGTGGAACTGTGTTTTTTCCAACTAACTCTTTGGTATGCGGAAGTCATCCAGGTACGTATTGATATGAACGAATTATTTTCAAGCTTAGAATAACTTTATATTTTTTCCTTCCATTCGACTTCAAGTAGTAGCTCCATTGTATTTACTTATAAATATTAGAAATATATTTGTGATTCAGACTGTATTAACATTTTTGTATGAATTATTTTCTTCATACAATAAGGTTTTTACCTGTTTGAAAGTAAATAATAATTATTGTTATGTCATTATTGTCATAATCTTAAGATACCTAGATTGATTTTCGCCACATTGTGAAACCATGTCAAATGCACGATTCTATTCAATAATAATTGTTAATTTTATGAAATGTAGTTATTTCATACTTACGGTCTGAAGTAGTTCCTGAATAGGCACGTTAGATCTTCTGCTGTTTGTGTTGAAATGTGATAGAAATTGAACGCATGTCCTATAATATGCATCACTGAAAATTCATTTAAATCTTTAACACGACGTAAAAAACCTTAAATTGATATAAAAAACCATTGAAATGATATCAGTTATGTACAAAAACATATGTGACGACTTCATGTTTCTCTTGTACCTATCAATTTATTCCTATGAAAATGGAATGATAAAGAATGCTGATAATAATGAGATATATCACCTGTGAATGCAAATCCCCATAAAGCGATATACTTGTGCAGCTCCACAGAGGCGTCAAAAGGAAAATAGTTGTTGGCAATCGTATCTCTCAGATAAGTGAGAATATTTCTACACATCGTTATCAACAACGATGAATATGTGAACATCATTGCAGATGCAGCTCCTCTTGTGATTGTCACCCCGTATCCAGCAATTCTTCGCAGTCCTGAATGTTCCCTTTCAACAGTGTAATCTGTGATTCAAAATAATCAGATTCAATATGATGAAAAGTGAATGATGATATGACAATGATTGAGAAATGTTTAAATTATCTCAGTTCAATAATAAACAGAGACTACAAACAAAAACATATAAATATAAGTATTCATTTGGTTGGTAGAATTGGAAACTCTGGTGTTGGCTGAATCTATTAGAAACACATTTCACCTCCTCTCCCCTCACACCCGAATCTGGAGTCCCTCAGGGCTCCCTCCTAGCCCCTTTCCTATTCCTTATCAATGTACGCGACGCTCATACCAACAAAAAAATCTCCAGGTACCATCAAAAGAACATGGAAGCTA